GCGCACACACACACACACACACGCATATGCACACGCACACGCACACACACTCGCACACACACACACACACACACACACACACACACACACACACACACACACACACACACCTTGCGCAGGTCGTGAAGGACGTCTGGGAGGAGGAGCGTGGGGGTGATGCTGCGGACAGGGCCCGTGACGGGCTCGCCCCACATGTACACGACGCGGTTGATGCGATGGCACACACGCGGGATCACCTTGGCAAGCTTCAGCAGCAGCGGCCACTCCGGCGAGCCCGTGCACGACAGCGCAACGACGTACCTGATCCAGCAGAGGCAAGGGGGACAGACACGATGTAATGAGGCAGCGGTGTGAGGTGAGAAGGACTTGGGTGAGAGAGAGACAGGTGTCAGGAAAACGAAGGCTGATGGGCGCTGTGTTGCCAAATGTCGTGTGACAAAGACAGCATGAGAGACAGCGAGCACCACAGTGTGAGCAACTCACGAGTATGTGCGTCCGTCACCCTGGACGCCAACGGTCTGGATGGGGAGAAGTGATGCAGAGTAGGACTTGGAATGCTCACGCAGAGAACCTGCCAACCGGTGAGTAGTTGCAAGCATCACGTTCCACGAGAAACGAGAAAGGGGAAACGGAAACGCATCGGATGAGGGCAAAGAAGAAGTTCAAATGAGCAACAAAACATCGCATACACACACACACACACACACACACACACACGCCACGGTGCAAGGGGGAGGTTAGGATGCTCGCCCCACGCCACCACATCACCGTGTGCGGTACCGTCTGGGTCTGCCTGCTCCATGGCGGCCTGAGCGACGGCGGCAGCCTCTGCGTCCGAGCACGGCTGGCCCAGCAGCGCCTGCACCAACTGCTGCGTCCGATCAAAGTCCGAGCAGATGTACGGCTCCCGCGCGCAGATGACGCGGATCGCAAGACCAGGACCTGGGCACACGCAAACGAGCGCGCGTGTGTGTATGTGTATGTATGTATGTATGTGTGTGTGTGTGTATGTGTGTGTGTTTGTGTGTGTATGTGTGTGTATGTGTGTGTGCGCGCGTGTGTTTGTTTTGAATGGGTTAAACCCATTACGTGTCACTCTCCCAATGACCACCGCGGCGGCGAGGGTACCTGGGAAGGGCTGGCGCTGCACAATGTCTTCGGCGAGGCCGAGCTCAAGGCCGAGCTGGCGCACCTGAAGTTGTCCAAGGCGCAGCAACGATTGAAGTGTGTGTGTGTGTGTTGGATGTGTGGTGGGGACATCGACACGTTGAGGTGAGTGAGAAATAATTCTGGTAAACAGGATGGATTAGCAGCCAACACCACTAGCCATCACCAGCGCCAGCAGCAGACGCCAGCAGGAAACACGAGCAGGGAACAGCACTGCACCTCGTCCTTGTGGTAGTCCTTGAGCGGCTCCACGACCTTTCCTTGCTCGCGAAGCTTACGCACCAGCGCCGTGTCGTTGTGGTGCGTCTTGATTGCATCCGCAGACGAGCTGCGATGACGCGAACATCGCCCACAGCCAAGCAGCGGCCACCGTGAGAGACAGCACAGCAGCAAGCGCACGTCCGTCTTTTCAAACAAAACAATGCCGACCACCACCAACACCACCACCACCACCATCATCATCATCATCATCATCATCATCATCATCATCATCATCATCATCATCATCATCATCATCATCATCATCATCATCATCATCATCATCATCATCATCATCACCACCACCACCACCATCATCATCATCATCACGGAGCACACCTGGCGAGGGCGGACGCGCTCTCAATGAGGTCTGGCCTGAGGGTGCCCTGTGCAAGGTAGACGTCATCAGACTTGATACCGAGCTGCTGCATGGCCCGCTCGGCGACCTTGATGAACGTGTCCCCGATAATCTTCCGCTTCTCCTCAGGGGCCGTCACTTCCTTCAGCGGCTGTGCACGTGGCAAAAGGGGGTTGGAGGTTTGGACGGACGAAGGGCGATATGAGATGGGGCATGCATGTGTGTGTGCCGTGTGTGTATGTGTGTGTGTGTGCCGTGTGTGTATGTATGTGTGTGTATGTGTCGTCTCATGAAGGTGCGTGCGCGTGTGCGTGCGTGCACGCGACATGTGTATTGTGCTGGTGTTGTATGAGTGGGCACTGTTTCCGTGTGTATTGCGTGATGAATGCGGCGAGCACAATGCGGACAGGACACGGAACCCACCGCTGTTTCGTATTCGGATTTGTCCTTGCGGGTGATGGTGGTGGTGCCGTTGTAGAAGTCCTCCGACGCGTCGATGACATGCAGTGGCAGACCAAGACGCTCCAGCGACACTTTCACTGCAGTGCACACACACACAAACAAACACATGCCACCAGCGTTCCAAAGTGTGTCAGTAGGTATGAGTCGCGTGTCAAACAACATGTTGTGGTTCACCACCCGCCGCAATCAAGACACACGAATACAGCACAGCGCGTGTTGTCTGCACCTTGCTTGCTCTCGTCCAGACGCATGAAGCCGTTGTCAATGTGCAGTGCAATGACGCGCTGTGGGCCAAGTGCTTTGTTGAGCAGGGCAGCGCACACTGCCGAGTCCACGCCGCCGCTCACCATCACCTGCCAACATGGTCGTGGCGATGGTGGTCAGGCGAGCAGTTCTGAAACAAATGGTGGTGCTAAGTGCAGGCCTGCAACGCCCCGCAGGTACTGTCGTGCATGCATGTGCACCACTAGCACGGACAGACTTTGATGGTGATGACATTCACCCTGGGCCAGGATCACTCACCAGCACGGATTTCTTGCCAACAAGGCGGCGGATCTCGTCAATTGCCTTTTCCTCGCGGTTCTCAATCGTAAAGGTGCCTGGCAAAGGGGAATGGGAGGCAAGCATTGGACGGTTGTCGCTCATACTTGGTGAGTGAGCACAGGCGCAGTTGACAGCCAAGCCCATTCCATGAGCATGCAAAGTGTCCACACACACACACACACACACACACACACACGCAGTGTGCGCAATGTTCTCACCGCTGCAGCCGCAGATGTCGATGAGGAAGTTCTTGATCATGGCGCGGCCGTTAACGGAGAGCTGAACCTCCGGGTGGAACTGCACAGCATAAATGCGCTTCTCCTCATTCTCAATGCCTGCATTGGAAGTCGAGACCCAGAGGGGGCGGGGAGTTGAAGCATGGTGTCGGTACCAGTGTGAGGTTGGCATGAAGGCGTGCTGCATGACCAAAGCACCACGATGGACACACGTGCGTGTGCGTGAACACAGACACAGACACAGACACAGACACAGACACACACGCACGCACGCACGCACGCACGCACGCACACACACAGACACACACACGCACGCACGCACGCACGCACGCGCACACGCACACACACACGCACACACACACGCACACACACACACACAGCTGAACGTCCGTGCACCTGCGATAATGGAGCCTGATTTGGCGATGGTGCGAAACCCAGGGGCAACCTGGTCGAGCGAGTCGCCGTGGGTCAGCAGCACGGGCTGGGTGGCATCGAGGCCAGCAAACAGACGGCTGTCGGTTTCCACCTGAATCTCATACTGGCCGTCCTCGCGCTCGGACTTGCGGTGCACGCTCCCACCAAACGTCTTGTTCGCAAGCTGACACATAAACACGGTACGGCGCATGGCTGTGAGATCTTTCTCAAGCGTAGCGTTGAGCACAAGGCGCAACACATCCCCAGCAGCAGCACACTCCCCAGCAGCAGCAGCAGCACCCATTGCATCAGCAGCACACCACCACCATCACCATCCCCACCACCATCCCCACCAACCTGCATGCCATAGCAGATGCCCAGCACTGGAATGCCGAGGTGGAAGATGTTCTCATCAAAGGACGGAGCATCGGCGGCGTACACGCTGCCTGGGCCGCCTGAGATGATGATTCCTCTGCAAATAAGGCCACCCAGCACCGTCAAAAAGGTCACACGCACACACGTACAATCAGTGGACGTGTGTGTGTGTGTGTGTTGCGTGTGTGTGTGGGTGTGTGTGTGGGTGTGGGTGTGTGCGGTTGTTGTGTGCCCGAGCAGCCGTAACAAGCACATTGTCCCTTCCCAACATCACATCCCCTCCAAGCTCAAAATGCACCTGTACTCACTTGTAGTTTCCGCCTTTGATGGTGGCCGCCGAGGTGCCCAATGGCAAGAGCTCAGTCTTCACTTTGAGCTCACGTACAACGCGGTCAATCAGCTGCCACCACCACCACCACCATCAACGCCGTCGTCAGTGGTGTGAGAAGTGTGCATTCAAGCATGACATGCGTTACAGGACACACAAACATGCAAACACATATATCTGCACATATGTGTATGCATACTTATTTACACACACGCACACACGTGTTCACACACACACACACACACCTTGCCATATTGTGCGCCAGCGTCAAGAACAAGCACGGTCTCCATGGTCGTTTGTTTGTTTGTTGTTGTTTGCGCGACTGCGTTCCAAGGTCAACAACCCACGTGGTGGCTGCTTTGGGGTGGTGGTCTTCGTTTGAGTTGTGTGCGCAGTGGTGGTTGCTTTGTTTGTGGCGCTTTCCCAAGTGGGATGTTTGGTTGAAGATTTGATTTGATTTTCTTGTATCCTGCGGCAGCATGAGTAGTAGTGGCAGTGGCGAGGCTGCTGGTGTGGGAATGCGAGGGCTGCGGCGGTGGTGCGGGTGTGTTGGCTTGTTCGTTGGGCTTGTGGCAGTGGTGTTGTTCCTGCTGCTCCGACCCTCAACGCGAGGCCTCGCCACAGACCTCAGGCCTAGCAGCGGCGGCAGCAACACCAACGCACGACCCCTCATCATAAACAACCACGCGCCTCAGCTGTTCACTGTCGCAGAAGGACACGAGGCCCAGGGAAAGAACCTGAACAGCAACGAGGAAAGAGCAAAGGCAGCGCTCCAACCAACAACCAGCGATGGCCGCACCAACGACGACGCACACCGAGGCAAGGCGAGCGTGCAGGCAACACAGAAACCTCCCCACTCTCCCTCACAGGCACCACACCCGCCGTCAGGACCCCAGCCACCGTCTTGGGACGGGACAAGAGAAGATGCGCCGCAAGTACAGCCGCTTGGCCCAGCAGCATCCCAACAGCAGGAAGTTACATCAACACAGCAGCCCGGCGCGGACGCTGAGCCCGTGCCATACCAGCCCAGCGACAGCGCCGTGGTTAGAGATGTTGGGCCTGGTTGCGCAACAAGCCTGCAGGCAAGCGCCTGTCCGGCAGACTTGTATGCTCCCACCACGCCAGAAGTGTGCCGGCCTGGGGAGCCAACGCCCGTGAAGGTGGCCGAGTGCGAGCTCAATCCCATAGAGACGCTGACGCACGTCGAGCCCGCACACCTGTGGTACCTGCACGTGCCCGGGAACCCAACGCTGATCCAGCCCTTGGTCTGGAGTCGCACCACGAGCAATGACAGTGACGGCGCTGAGGGGGGCCCTGACCAGGGCAACGCGCCCCCAGCAAGCAGCTTGGACACGGCCAACACCAACAACAGCAATCAGGGCGGTCAACGTGACGGCGGTGCCTTGCAGCCGCTGGACGACTTTAGGCCATGGCCGGCCCCAGCCGTGGTGGTGCTGGGGTTTCTCGCCAGCATGAGCGCGGCGGACACAGCCAGCACCCAGAACACCGCGACCGCGGAGACCAGGACAAGCGGTGCCGCTTCAAGCTCCGGCGCTCCAACCACAGACTACGCAGCAACACTGCCTGGCCTCTACTTTGTTGATGGCCGTAACGGTGCGGTGTTCAATGCCACGCACGCGTTTACAAACAAGCGGTGGCACCGCGTGCCCTCGGAGCGGGCTGTGCAGTCTGCACTGCAGCCCCAGGAGCTTGGCGGCGCTTGTGTCGCCCGCACCAGGGGCACGAAGCAACCGCATACCGGGGAGAAAGGTGGCGGCCGGAGCGTGCATGTGCATGGTCTGCTGGTGGACTTGGTCATTGTATGGGGCGAGACGTTTCAACACACGGTGCTCGACGTGCTGCCCCGGCTCGCAGCATTTCTGCAATGGCTCAAGACTGATGCAACCACCACCACCACCACCAGCGGCAGCAGCAGCCAAGAGGACAAAGGCAATGTTGGGGTGCAGCAGATGCATGACAGCGATGGACTGCGGGAAGCGGTGTTGAGTGGGAAGGTGCAGGTGACGCTGCTCGTGTGTGCAGGCAGCGACGTCCTGCAGGAAATGCTTGCACGCATCGTGGATGAGCCCTGGGCGGTTGTTGAGGCCGACCCGAGGCTCACGTACACTGCCGATGCCATTGTGTTCCCGACGCTGGCTGGCCAACAGAAGATTGGTATCATGCCACCGGGCGTGTTCTGTCCCCTGCTGCGCCAGCTGCAGACGTCGCAACAGCAGCGCGACGAAGACACGCGCAGGCCTGGGCACACGACGCAGACGCCAGGCAGCCCCAACCTGGCCAACCGTGATGGCAATGGCGACGGCGCAGGCGAGGCGGTGCTGCTGTATCTGAGTCGTGGGGACGCATCGCCGCGCGCGCTTGTGCCGGCAACAGAGCAGGCACTCATTGAGGGGCTTCAGCAGGTTGTGGAGGCAGCCAACATGCAGGGCATGCAACAGGGCGAACTCAAGGCTAAGGGTGGCGGCGTTGCTGTTGGGGCAGGAGCGAGGATCAAGTGGCGACTGGAGGTGTGGAACCACACGGCACCGCATGCGTGGCAACGCGATGCAGGTGTGTTTCGAGACGCGCGCGTGATTGTTGGCCCCCATGGTGGCGCATTTGCCAATCTCCTATTCGCCGGTGGTTCCTCCGCTTCGCAAGCGCAAGGCATGCAGACGCACGTGCTCGAGTTTATACCGCGTGCAGCGCTGGAGCGGCCGCCTGTTGGGGCGAAGCGAAAGGGTGACGTGCGTCCGTGCTACCTCTCGCTCGCACAGGCGCTCGGGTTCTCGTATCACCAGGTGGAGCCCACCTCCTTCGACTTCAACAGTCCCGGGCTGGACGTGGATGTGGATGTGGTCATTAACCACGTGCGAACCATCATCTCCATGGCCAGCACGTAATGCTGCATGTATGTGTATGTGTATGTGTATGTGTGTGCGTATGCGTACGTTTGTATGTATGTGTGTGTTTGTTTGTGTATGTATGTGTGTGTTTGGTTGTGTATGTATGTGTGTGTGTGTTTGTGTTTGTTTGTTTGTGTGTTTGTGTTTGTTTGTTTGTGTGGGGTGTGTGTGTGTGTGGTGTGTTTGTTTGTTTGTGTGGTGTGTTTGTGTGCTCTTGGTAGGCAACAGGCACTTTGCCCCATCTCTTCCTCTCCTGACTTGTGTACACATCAACCACTGCCTCTTCAACCCCCCCCCCCTCTCAAAACATCTCCTTGTCTTGTGTTCTTCTGTCCACTCGTGTCAGCAACAGTAATATCAGCAGCGGCATGGTTCAAGCGTGTATGTGGTTCAGTTACGTCTGCTGCAAGCCAGGCCAGCTGGCTACGGGTCTCAAATAAACCCGCATGTGCATGCATGCATGCATGCAAGGTGTGCGATGACAAGAAAACAGATGTGCGAGAAGCGCTAACGGCCAAAGATCTAATGTGTGTGTGTGTGTGTGTGTGTGTGTGTGTGTGTGCATCAGCATCAGCGTCGGCAGCAATACAGTTCACAACTCATCGTCGTCATCGTCCTCGAATGTGACAAAGGGAAGATCAGACACGAGTCGTAGCCGCATGCTCTCCTGTCAGAGGGGCGTGTGTGCGCAATGAAATATGTGTGTGCGGTGTTGTGACAGCAATTCAACGATACGAAACACGGGTAAAGCCCACATGATGCAAGCTTTGACGCAGACAGACTGAGGCAGCCAGAGAGACAAGCAGGCGAGCAGACAGACAGCGCGGGCAGGTAGGCACATAGATAGACAAACAGACACGGATTCACAGGCAGACACACACACAGGCAGACAGACAGACACACACACACACAGACACACAGACAGACAGACACACACACACAGACAGACAGACAGACACAAACACACACACACAAACACACACACGCACGCACACACGCACGCACGCACCGGCTGGGAAGAGGTTGGCAGCTTGAGTTCCGAGTGGTGCGCAGGCAGGGGATACGAGAAGAAGTACGGGTGCACCAGTGCCTGGTGGCGCAAACAGAAAAGAGGTGACGTGGTCAACGTGTTGATGAGGGCAAGTATTGCCACAAGCTCGCGCGCGTGTGCATCCATATGCGTGTGTATACACGCACGTGTGTCGTCACCTTTGCGGCAGGAAGACGGCGGGAGGACGAGTAGACGAGGAATTGCGAGCACAGGTTGATGGCCTGAAAACAAGGACAGGAACGCGTGCAATGGTGGTGAAATGGGGGCGTCAGGCGTCAGAACTGCGAGGAAAGCCAAAGACCAGTGCAAACACAACTGCACACGAAAACAAACAAACAAACAAACAAACAAACAAACAAACAAACAAACAAAACAAACAAGCAAACAAACAAACAAACAAACAAACAAACAAACACACACACACACACACACACACACACACACACACACACACACACACACACACACACACACACACACAAACACGCACGTCCTGCGTTGCGTCGGGGAGGATTTCGTGCATGGGCTGGGGGTCTGTGGGATCAAAGTTGATCTTTGCAAAATCGGGAAGCGAGTCGAGTTCCTGCAGACACACTCGCAGCGGCGGCGGAAGCAATCATAGCAATGACGTGAGATGACCTACCACCCACACACATTTGTGTGAATGTGGACGCATCGTGTGCACAGATGAGCTGAATGCAAAGAGCACAGCGTTAAGAGAGGGGAGGGGGAAGGAAAGTAGCGTGCACCACGTTACCGGCCAGTCTTGTCGTGTGGGCGTTCCAAGGGCCTGGATGACACAGGAGAGCTGGTCAATGTCGTTCTCGCCCTAAGGGGTTGGAGATTGGGAATAGGAGCGTGAGGTACGTGTGTGAGAAGAGACGGGGGCACGCAAGCAAGCATGTGGGCAGGGTTGGTAGATGAAAAGTCGGTCATAAACGCAGGCAGGCGACGGAGATCGAAGGCGGCTCTGCACACGAGACACACTATGCAAGCAAGCACACACACACACCAACTATATGCATACACACACCAACTACATGCATACACACACCAACCATATGCATACACACCGGAAACAGGGGCGAGTTGTTGAGGAGCTCTCCAAAGATGCAGCCGACGGCCCTTGAGACGGCAGGCAGAAACAACAAGTGGTGCACGCGGCAGTGAGGAAGGTGTCCTGGCTGGTGTGTGTGGGGGGGGTCGAGGCAGAAGCCAACGCTCACATGCAATGATGAATACACACCAGATGTCAACGCCAAAGTCGTAGACGCGTGCCCCATACAGCAGCTCTGGAGCACGGTACCACCTGGCAAGAGAGAGAGTGTGTGTGTGAGAGTGAGAGAGAGAGAGTGTGTGTGTGTGTGTGTGAGTGAGTGAGTGAGAGAGTGTGTGAGTGAGAGTGTGTGTGAGTGAGTGTGTGTGTGAGTGAGTGTGCGTGTGTGTGAAAGAGAGAGCGAGTGAGTGAGTGAGAGTGAGTGAGCGAGCGAGTGAGTGAGAGTGTGCGTGCGTGAGTGAGTGGACAAACACGGCGCGTGTGCGAGTGAGTGCATAAACGTGATGCGCGTGCGTGCTTGTTCATTGCCGTGATACCTCGTGGCCACCTGGTGGCTCATTGGTCTTGCTTCATCGTACACGCGCGCAAGCCCAAAGTCGGCAATCTTCAACTGCCCAGTCGCGCTGATGAGTAGGTTTGCAGGCTTGAGGTCCTGTTGACGTGTGCGTGTGCGGATGTGAAGTGAGAGATTGGACAGTGTGCAACGTCGAGCTCTAACAGAGGCGTGCAGGAATGCGATCTCGCCCACACAGCCACACTGGCTCTACGTCGCACCCACATTCACGTACGCACAATAGCACACAATCTCACACCCACACCCACCAACAACAAACAATCTCTCTCTCTCTCACCCACACACACTCACACACACCCACACACACCCACACCCACACCCACACCCACACCCACACCCACACCCACCCACCCCCCCCCCCCACACCACACACACACCCACGACAGACATACACATTGACAGATAGAGGTGGAGTTGGACAAATAAACGCCCGAGAGAAGGAAGGACATTACGGCTCACTGGCGATGGCGATAGAGGAAAGTTCTGGCCTTGTGGGAACGGCGAGAGATCACTGGCCTGT